TGTGCTACTGCTGTTACTACTAAAACTAGTGCTAATACTACACAAGTGTCACTGCTACTACTATTGTTGCTATTACAACCACAGTAGTACTGCTACCATGTTCTCTACCACTGCTCACACTACTACCATTATATCTCTCAGTACAACTTACTTATACTATGAATGCATCAGTAATGATTTAGTTAGGAGCAGGCAGTAGTGGAAGAAGAACACAATGGAAAATGAAAAGCATCAAGTGTCAATTGACAAAACATGTTAGATGAATGCAGTAAACAAGACCAGGTCAAAACCAGTATCTGTCTGCACTGCGTATAGTCAATGAGCAAAATTGAGTACGTATTTGAAACATGTTGAACCGCTGTAAACAACTGATATTATCAAGGCCAATTATCATTCAGTCTAGTGTCAGCTGATTTCAGTCTAGTATCAGCTGGTTTCAGTTTAGTATCAGCTGGTTTCAGTCTTGTGTCAGCTGGTTTCAGTCTAGTGTCAACTGGTTTCAGTTTAGTGTCAGTTGGTTTCAGTCTAGTGTCAACTGGTTTCAGTTTAGTGTCAGCTGGTTTCAGTCTAGTGTCAGCTGGTTTCAGTCTAGCATCAACTGGTTTCAGTTTAGTATCAGCTGGTTTCAGTCTAGTGTCAGCTGGTTTCAGTCTAGTGTCAACTGGTTTCAGTCTAGTGTCAGTTGGTTTCAGTCTAGTGTCAACTGGTTTCAGTTTAGTGTCAGCTGGTTTCAGTCTAGTGTCAACTGATTTCAGTTAAGTATCAGCTGGTTTTAGTCTAGTATCAGATGGTTTCAGTTTAGTATCAGTTGGTTTCAGTCTAGTGTCAGCTGGATTCAGTCTAGTGTCAACTGGTTTCAGTTAAGTGTCAGCTGGTTTCAGTCTAGTGTCAACTGGTTTCAGTTTAGTATCAGCTGGTTTCAGTCTTGTGTCAGCTGGTTTCAGTCTAGTGTCAACTGGTTTTAGTTTAGTGTCAGCTGGTTTCAGTCTAGTGTCAGCTGATTTCAGCCGTGTCCCCTGTGTGTGTGTGTGTGTGTGTGTGTGTGTGTGTGTGTGTCTGCCTTGCGTCCTTTGTCTCTCTCTCTGTTTAGAGACTTTGTTTTATTGTTTGCTTATTGATCAAAGGTGTTGGAACGTGTTGGAACGTTGAATTTAAGAGAGAGTGTCAGCTGGTTTCAGTCAAGTGTCAACTGGTTTCAGTTAAGGGTCAGCTGGTTTCAGTTAGTGGCAGCTGGTTTCAGTCAAGTGTCAACTGGTTTCAGTTAAGGGTCAGCTGGTTTCAGTTAGTGGCAGCTGGTTTCAGTCAAGTGTCAACTGGTTTCAGTTAAGGGTCAGCTGGTTTCAGTTAGTGGCAGCTGGTTTCAGTCAAGTGTCAACTGGTTTCAGTTAAGGGTCAGCTGGTTTCAGTTAGTGGCAGCTGGTTTCAGTCAAGTGTCAACTGGTTTCAGTTAAGGGTCAGCTGGTTTCAGTTAGTGGCAGCTGGTTTCAGTCAAGTGTCAACTGGTTTCAGTTAAGGGTCAGCTGGTTTCAGTTAGTGGCAGCTGGTTTCAGTCAAGTGTCAACTGGTTTCAGTTAAGGGTCAGCTGGTTTCAGTTAGTGGCAGCTGGTTTCAGTCAAGTGTCAACTGGTTTCAGTTAAGGGTCAGCTGGTTTCAGTTAGTGGCAGCTGGTTTCAGTCAAGTGTCAACTGGTTTCAGTTAAGGGTCAGCTGGTTTCAGTTAGTGGCAGCTGGTTTCAGTCAAGTGTCAACTGGTTTCAGTTAAGGGTCAGCTGGTTTCAGTTAGTGGCAGCTGGTTTCAGTCAAGTGTCAACTGGTTTCAGTTAAGGGTCAGCTGGTTTCAGTTAGTGGCAGCTGGTTTCAGTCAAGTGTCAACTGGTTTCAGTTAAGGGTCAGCTGGTTTCAGTTAGTGGCAGCTGGTTTCAGTCAAGTGTCAACTGGTTTCAGTTAAGGGTCAGCTGGTTTCAGTTAGTGGCAGCTGGTTTCAGTCAAGTGTCAACTGGTTTCAGTTAAGGGTCAGCTGGTTTCAGTTAGTGGCAGCTGGTTTCAGTCAAGTGTCAACTGGTTTCAGTTAAGGGTCAGCTGGTTTCAGTTAGTGGCAGCTGGTTTCAGTCAAGTGTCAACTGGTTTCAGTTAAGGGTCAGCTGGTTTCAGTTAGTGGCAGCTGGTTTCAGTCAAGTGTCAACTGGTTTCAGTTAAGGGTCAGCTGGTTTCAGTTAGTGGCAGCTGGTTTCAGTCAAGTGTCAACTGGTTTCAGTTAAGGGTCAGCTGGTTTCAGTTAGTGGCAGCTGGTTTCAGTCAAGTGTCAACTGGTTTCAGTTAAGGGTCAGCTGGTTTCAGTTAGTGGCAGCTGGTTTCAGTCAAGTGTCAACTGGTTTCAGTTAAGGGTCAGCTGGTTTCAGTTAGTGGCAGCTGGTTTCAGTCAAGTGTCAACTGGTTTCAGTTAAGGGTCAGCTGGTTTCAGTTAGTGGCAGCTGGTTTCAGTCAAGTGTCAACTGGTTTCAGTTAAGGGTCAGCTGGTTTCAGTTAGTGGCAGCTGGTTTCAGTCAAGTGTCAACTGGTTTCAGTTAAGGGTCAGCTGGTTTCAGTTAGTGGCAGCTGGTTTCAGTCAAGTGTCAACTGGTTTCAGTTAAGGGTCAGCTGGTTTCAGTTAGTGGCAGCTGGTTTCAGTCAAGTGTCAACTGGTTTCAGTTAAGGGTCAGCTGGTTTCAGTTAGTGGCAGCTGGTTTCAGTCAAGTGTCAACTGGTTTCAGTTAAGGGTCAGCTGGTTTCAGTTAGTGGCAGCTGGTTTCAGTCAAGTGTCAACTGGTTTCAGTTAAGGGTCAGCTGGTTTCAGTTAGTGGCAGCTGGTTTCAGTCAAGTGTCAACTGGTTTCAGTTAAGGGTCAGCTGGTTTCAGTTAGTGGCAGCTGGTTTCAGTCAAGTGTCAACTGGTTTCAGTTAAGGGTCAGCTGGTTTCAGTTAGTGGCAGCTGGTTTCAGTCAAGTGTCAACTGGTTTCAGTTAAGGGTCAGCTGGTTTCAGTTAGTGGCAGCTGGTTTCAGTCAAGTGTCAACTGGTTTCAGTTAAGGGTCAGCTGGTTTCAGTTAGTGGCAGCTGGTTTCAGTCAAGTGTCAACTGGTTTCAGTTAAGGGTCAGCTGGTTTCAGTTAGTGGCAGCTGGTTTCAGTCAAGTGTCAACTGGTTTCAGTTAAGGGTCAGCTGGTTTCAGTTAGTGGCAGCTGGTTTCAGTCAAGTGTCAACTGGTTTCAGTTAAGGGTCAGCTGGTTTCAGTTAGTGGCAGCTGGTTTCAGTCAAGTGTCAACTGGTTTCAGTTAAGGGTCAGCTGGTTTCAGTTAGTGGCAGCTGGTTTCAGTCAAGTGTCAACTGGTTTCAGTTAAGGGTCAGCTGGTTTCAGTTAGTGGCAGCTGGTTTCAGTCAAGTGTCAACTGGTTTCAGTTAAGGGTCAGCTGGTTTCAGTTAGTGGCAGCTGGTTTCAGTCAAGTGTCAACTGGTTTCAGTTAAGGGTCAGCTGGTTTCAGTTAGTGGCAGCTGGTTTCAGTCAAGTGTCAACTGGTTTCAGTTAAGGGTCAGCTGGTTTCAGTTAGTGGCAGCTGGTTTCAGTCAAGTGTCAACTGGTTTCAGTTAAGGGTCAGCTGGTTTCAGTTAGTGGCAGCTGGTTTCAGTCAAGTGTCAACTGGTTTCAGTTAAGGGTCAGCTGGTTTCAGTTAGTGGCAGCTGGTTTCAGTCAAGTGTCAACTGGTTTCAGTTAAGGGTCAGCTGGTTTCAGTTAGTGGCAGCTGGTTTCAGTCAAGTGTCAACTGGTTTCAGTTAAGGGTCAGCTGGTTTCAGTTAGTGGCAGCTGGTTTCAGTCAAGTGTCAACTGGTTTCAGTTAAATGTCAGCTGGTTTCAGTCTAGGGTCAGCTGATTTCAGCCTGTGTCCCTGTGTGTGTGTGTGTGTGTCTGCCTTGCGTCCTTTGGCTCCCTCTCTGTTTAGAGACTTTGTTTTATTGTTTGCTTATTGATCAAAGGTGTTGGAACGTGTTGGAACGTTGAATTTAAGAGAGAGTGTCAGCTGGTTTCAGTTAGTGTCAGCTGGTTTCAGTCAAGTGTCAACTGGTTTCAGTTTAGTGTCAGCTGGTTTCAGTCTAGTGTCAGCTGATTTCAGCCTGTGTCCCTGTGTGTGTGTGTGTGTGTGTGTGTGTGTGTGTGTGTGTGTGTGTGTGTGTGTGTGTGTCTGCCTTGCGTCCTTTGTCTCTCTCTCTGTTTAGAGACTTTGTTTTATTGTTTGCTTATTGATCAAAGGTGTTGGAACGTTGTTCCGGATCGTTCTGGACCATTTTAACCCTGCTGGCAATTCTCCTCTAACGAAAGTAGATAAGGTTAGTCCAAAAAGTCTCTAAATTTGCTGTTATGTGCTTTTCTGAAAAAAGCCACAAATGGTCTACGTTAGCAACATTTGCAGGTTGTAAACACCCTCTAATAGGCAGAGCAGAGAAAGCAAAGAAAGAGCAACATGTTGCATTTGGCTGACCAATGGTACAACTTGATCACTCACTCACAAATTTGTGTTTATAGGGCTGACCCTGCTTTTGTGGTCCAGCCAAACATGCAAGATGGGGAAAAACACACTTTCAGCACACAAAAATAACCTTTATTAAAAGTGAAACCATGTGTAAAAGCCACATGCCTAGAGACTGCATGTGATTTGCCACCTGTGATTTGTGGTTCAGTCTTTACATTTTAGAAGAGGTAACAGTAGCTATGAACAGAAGCAGTGGCAAATTTCTCTTATTTTTTTCTTTATTCATTGTTGTTCATTGTTGAATTTAGTGTGGAGAAATTGGCACACGGTCTTGTCAGCTGAATAAATCTAGATAGACAAATTGCCCAATTACCCTCAGGCTTTCATCAGTTGTGAACTATAATTATTATTTCAATTTAAAACAAATCTTTGTGGTGCTTCAAATTGAGTTTTGATTTACCAATATGCAACATGAATTTAGTAGTTCAAAGGTTCATAGTTTAATTAAGTGTCCTAGAAATTTACCAAAATCACTCTAAAAACCAGATCAAGGAGGCTAGAACTGTCCTGACAAACATTAGAAATCTTCTTAGCTCCACTGGAAAAGCTCAAACTACACTGTGGATCGTTACTGCCAACAAAGCTTATGAGTCACTACCAAAGCATTCAGAAATAGATTTCCATTTGCCAAGATTCTCAAAAAGTTAGTTGAAAAGTTATTGCAAAGTCATTTACAGTTCTTCAGAATAGTTGTGGCGCTGAGGGTCAAATGCTGTGTGAAAATGATGCCACTTTTCTGGCTGCGACTCTGAAACCCAACAGAACCAGCCAGGCCTGCCTGCCTCCACAGCTCAGCTGGACACCCTTTTAATAACCAGGCCCTAAAATAAACTGTTTTCCCCACTTCATTATATGACACTGTTGTCTCTCTCTGCTCATTAAAAGTCCAGCGCTGAGGTTCCAAAGAGCCTCCCCCTCCGGACCGTCTCTGAGACCTCTGCAGGACTTTCATTAAGAGGAAACAGAGATGTGAACTCTGAACTCACTAATGCAGCAGTTTTAATTGCCCACATTATGACAAATAGATGATACTACAAAATGAAAGTAATACATTTTTTTCCTCCTATGGCAGTCACATTGGCTCTACAGCCAATGTACAAGTCATATTCTGTGTTTCAGTACATTCACTTGCAGTACACTGTGTACTCAGTATACTCACTGGTGTAGTGTCAAATGTTTCAAAATCAAAAACTGCTGTTTGAAACTCCCCCCCCCCACAAATACATTGTTTTACATCAATTTTTTGACTGTTTCCAGCATATCGCATGTTGCCATACTTGTAAATTTGAGCGCACTTATATACTCAAACAGTGAGTATGGAAGTTTGACACAGGGATAGAGATGTTAGCTAAAGCTGTTAGTTTTTGGAGCAGCCCAGTATCCCGAGGAATTATGTTCATATTTGATGATTCAGCTCCCCACTATTTACACCCAATACTAACCTTCAGTGCCAGTGTGGGAAGTAGTGTGTGTTTTTGGGGGATGACATCCAGCCGCTGCGGTCAGGATTAAGCCTATGTGGTACGCGCTCTACCAGGTCAGCCACCGAGGCGCCCCCAACTCTTGCACTTTTAAAAAGGCTTGTACCAGTTGGACTATTCCACACCAACCCTCTCAGAGTGGTACTTTCCAACTCACCCAGTTTAGCCAAGAGGTTTCTTTTCTGAGTTCCAGTGACCAGTTGAATTTGGGATTTAATGCCTTTGTCTTCACTGTTGTGTGCGTCCATTGACCTGTAAGTACATGAAGTCATAAATATTTTAGGTATAGTTTCGGGACATTCCTCTTTTTGATGCTAATTCTTGCTCTTTTCATGTCCAGAACAGCCAGTCATGCTGATTGAGCCCAATTACCAGGGAGTGAATGCTTGTAGTGCTGGTTTCCACCTGCAACCAGCCTGCACTTAATTCACTACATTCACTTTGTGTTCATTTCGTAGTTGAAAGCTTCTCGTATTTTCTTGTTCATATTTAATTTCAAGCTGTTTATGTGGCTGCACATTCAAATGTGTTGGATTGGCTGTATTTGTATTTCACCCAAATATTGTAGGCACATTATCTTGTGTGTGAGTCTCATAGTGGGAATTTATTAGTATTAAGTTCAGCCTGCTCTGATGAATAAGTAATTGTTTGTTTCTTATCATTGTATTTCATAGTCCCACCTTGTTGCAATGCTAATCATGGTAGTGAAGCTGTTTCAGCAAGTTGTTGTGTTATGTAATAGTTGTACTATATGATTAGGTTGTTTATTTCTCCACCACACAAACATATGTAAACCTGCATCCACACAAGGGCATCTTCCTACACACCCTGTCAAGACTTTGTTCTGTTCAGTAATAAAGTAAACTCATCTGAACTTCTGGACTACTTGTGATTTGATCAGTCACTACAGTGGTGGGCTGTGATTTTCTAAAACCCAAGGTCACTGTCAGTCATTCTCTTTATTATAGGGACTGAATGTAAAAAAAAAAAACTCTCATTGAACATTAGTCACGATTTTACAGAACTGTCTGATAGTAGCATGTGTGTTCATGTTGCAGCTCAAATTCTAAAACGCTAAAACGAGCAGAAACGTATTTTTCAAGGTTTCTCTTCCTTTTGTCTCTGCTCTGTGTACATCATATCACACAGCTTTGGTAAACGCACCTTTACCTTAAACACACAGTATGCAACCTCTGCCTCTAGGGCTTTCTCAAGCAAAACAATAACAATAGACAGCGTTGGGTGACGTCATGAAATAGCGTGGGATCATGGGAGTTGTTGTCTTCCCCACCATTACCATCAGCGCCTCCCAGTTTGGATTCCTTCAGTGTCAGTGGTTCAGGAAATCAAACAGACCTGGTGATTCTAACTGTTAAAAACACTGAATAAAGCAGTTTGACATTTAAAGTTGGTGCTTGACCATTGCTCTTCAGCAGACAAGGAGCAGTTGGAAACTGAGACTGCTTACTTTTGTTTCTCTAGTAACTCATGAACCAGAGGTTCAGCAGGTTTTTACCAGCAGCTGAAATATCCACAGAGGTGTCCTCCTCTCCATAACACACACACCAGGGAATTAAAACCAGTAGAAACACCCAGAAAGTAGTTTGGCTTTAAAAATCTGAGAATGACAACAGGCGACCGAATGACACTTACTGTTGCCATGAATTACTGTTTGGCCATTGGAGAACATGATCTGCATGTTTAACGCCACATATCTTGAACTGCACCTTATTGTCCTCTTTTTTATCAAAGTATTTCCAGATCACTTTTCCTGGTCACAGCTGTCATGCAGCACATAATGCCAACTGAGTTGAACTATTGTAGTCAAAAACAACACTTGCGTAGGTGTGCAAGTGGTGAAACACTCCTCAAATAATGACGTCAACTACCTATCCCTAGTAAGAACACACCTCAAAAAAATATGTCTAGTATCTACGTATATCTATATATCTAGTCATTTTTAGACATTTTGATGTGGAAAAGTTGCATATTATGACTTTAATTGACAGTATCCAGGTTTTTTTTCATCATTTCTTTATTAACTTTTTAGTCAACCAAATCGTTGACTAAATTGTGCTCCAGTCTGAAAAACACTTTTAGGGAAGAAGTTAGGGTGGATAATTGGGTCATAGAACATGTCATCTCACCACAGCAGACGTTGGTTTCTGTCCTGTCTCCTACCAACAGCCAACACAAAAGCCACTGGCAAACAGTTACCACCTTATTTTATTGTTTGGGCATTAGGCCTGTTGGCAGGAGACTCCAGTTTCAAAGCCAGAAACTTCCATCCTTCCATCCACTGTGTACCTGAAAGTATATATGAGTCATTTTCAACAGTTTGAACAAAAACCAGCAGTGTCATTTTTCTCTCGACGACCGCAGTGAGATTTTAGGCAATTTAGGGCTGATTTTCTGCTCACACAGCTCTTTGAACTCCTCTCCACAGCTTTTTAAAGTTTCTTGTGTCAATAAGAAATGAGATTGCCTTTGTTCAGAAAGTAATAAAGCATAGATTATTGTAATGAGAATTGAGTCATTGTGACATTCAAACAGTGTCCTGATTGTGTGAATTATGAGAGCAATTACAGCAACAACAACAACAGTTGGCAGGCTGTGATCTCTCTCTCTTCTACTCCTTCTCTCCATCTACTCTGCCTCATATATCCAGCTTCTCTCACTCCTTCCATTCCTCTGTCCTTCTTTTTGTCTTTGTGTATTTCTTTGCTTACCTTCAGCTGTGTTTGAAATAAGAAAAAGTGGGGTTTGTTTGTTTTCTCAAGTATTGCAGTGATGCTTCATGCAATTAAATGCTTATGTTGCCGCCCCCCCCCCCCCTTTTCAGGACTTCCTGGAGACCCTGGAGGACTTGGATCTGAGCTACAACAACCTGGTGGACATCCCCTGGGAGACCATTGCCCTGTTGATCAGCGTCAACACCCTGAGCCTGGACCACAATCTGATAGAGAGCGTCCCTGAGGGAATCTTCTCCAACCTGCACAAACTGGCCAGGTGAGGATCTCTCCACAGCATCAGCACCCTGTGCAGGTGTAACGGCCTGACTCGACAAAAAAAACCCAAAAAAAACAGAACTTGCTCTATTGACATGTCACCTTTGTAACCTTAAAGGTTTGTTACCTTTGCATGTCAGTTCAGTAACCTCTGTATAGTCATGCTCAAGTCTATTTATTTGTACAACATCTGGTCGGTCTTTAATGATCTACATGCTTTAAGATTAATGAATAACTTCATACAAACAAATGTGTGCTTCTTCCAGTAAGAACACAGCAGGAGCCAGATGCATAAATGATGTGACACACAAAAACCATACGTACGCCATTTCCCGCTCTTAAACTGGTCTTTATAAACACAGCGTGTGTCACCTCACACACTCCTTTGACCATGTGAACACACAGTTTTCCAAACTGATCCAAGTTACAGTGAAAATACAAAATAGGCCGACACGTATTTTAACATGAAATAAGAGATCCAACTTCACGGAGCTTCATTCAATATCATCATTATAAGTTTTGGTGTTTACACAACAATAACAATTTTACAATTTATAAACAGAGATAAACGTGTTTGTGCTCAGTGTTTCTTTCATTATGGTTTAATATCCTTATTAATCATTGTGAGTCATTCTGTAACTGTGCCATACTATTTTGATATTTACTCATCAAAGTGTCCTCATCCATTCATGACTAATTGTGGGAGTGGAAATGAGGCTTGTGCACATGCACCCAGTTTCTCTATAGGTGAGCTTTACAAAGCAGAACAACGCAGAACGCACGACTTTATAATTCTGATGAAAAGAATGTGTACGAAGGTTTCTGGTCTACACACCTGGCCCCCGCTCTGTGATCACAGACTCGCAACACACTGCATCAATGGCTGGAACAGGGAGGAATAAGCTCACAAAGCATCACATTTGGCTTTTCACTGGAAATTCTAAGAAATGTGTTTGTATATGTCTTCCTGCTTCCTTTCACCTTGAATGTAAAATATGCAGCTCTCTATAACTTAAAGCTCCACTTCAGTGTACCGCCTAAGAATATAATACACCTCTGGCACTTATTGGCCTCTCAGTAACAATCTGAACACTTCAGCCATGTTCTTGTATGTTTGTGTGCAGTCAACATTCAGCACTGGATAGGGGTATAGTATGAAATACAGCTATTGCCTTGTTTATAGCATGATGGATGTGTTGAGCTGCCTTTAACTCATAGTTTTAGCTTCACAGGACATGCAGTGTATGATGCAGTCTCAGCCACTTTCACCAGCCCCATCAAACAAGCTCTCATAAAGCCACTGTCCACTGCCCAGCACCAAACAGCAGACAGACTCAGGCAGAGACTCACTGGTGAAAAGTTAACACTGCACCTTTTGAATTGAAGTCAAACGTCGTATCGGAGGGTTTAAAAGAACAACGTGTATGGTTGTTGAGGTTAGAGGAGTGGTTGAAACCATCTTCAGTGAGCTGTGTCTCAGAAAGTGTTGATATGAATTATTTTAATATTATGACAATGGGTAGAAAGGGTAGTTTAGGAAATTGGAAATTCTTGGTGAAACTTGCTTGAGAAAGACACAAAAAATCCCAAGAGCAGTGGAGGAACCTCACAGAGAGACATGAAGTAACAAGTATCCAGTTGTGTCAGTTATATGATAAATGGGTTTAATTGTTACTGAAAGAATAGATCATTTAAAGCTGCAACTGATTCTGCACATGAACTCTAAATCTTCCAGTGACAAAAATATTTGAAAGGATGAGGAACAAAAGAATCATCAGTGCCTCTGTCTTCTGGGAGAACATCCTCTGAAAGGAGTTTTTTTGTTGCATCAGAATGAAAATAAATCATGTCAAATTATGTTTTGTTCAACAATATCAGCCCCTCTGATGAGCTATTTTTAATTGTTTGATTTTCTCACCAATCAGACCTAAAACTAGAGCAGGACACAACTGAACTGAAATGATAGAGTGAATCCCTCCATGTCGGACCTTGTTTTGAGGGAGGTTGAGCTTCAGAGGCTTTGCAGTCAAACTGGTGTTCAGCAGCAGCAGTTCTAGACCCGACTGACTGCCAGACAGTGGGGATTTCAAACAGTGACCTCACACTGCTCTTCTGCTGAGCACATCTTAGCTGTGCTTCTCTGCTTATACACTGTGTGTGAGTGTTTGTACATATTCACACAAAAAAGACAGATCAGAAGAATCTGTAGTTGTTATCACTGGCACAGACTCTACAGTTCATACACAGATCAGAATGAACTCTGGCTCTCCATCCTCCAATCTCACTTCAAGCTGCAGAAAATCTTGTTTTTGAATATAGATAACCATATTACATTTACTCATTTGGCAGATTCATGTTATACTGAGAGAGCCTGATTGCCTGAGATCCTCTGGCAGGGCACTCTCATCCTAAATCCATATCATATGTAAAAAAAATGGTCTGACCCCACCTCTGCCACAATGACCCCAAAACAAGTCTCAGCTCAAGATTCCTTTTTTATCAGTCTCGCTCTCCTTCAACCTCAGTTTGTCCTTATTGAAAACGATGTATGGTTGTGTTTGTCTCTCTTTTATATCATTCCAGTACCGCTGGATTTATTACTCCCTAAATTTACTCCAATTATATTGTGTTTTGATTATGGTTTTGATTTATTGAACATTCTAATAAACTAATACAATGAACTAATATATCAGACTTTGACAGGGATGAAAAGTTATTGTCCCTAATGATGATGTTCAGTTCTCATCCTGTGTGTTTATGGTCAATCAGCCTGAACCAGGATGGAGAAAGACATTTGATGTTCAACCTAAAAAATATTACAAACTAGCCATCATAAAAACAGACATTTTAATAAGAGATGGTGTTCATGAGCAGCTTCAACAAAAAGTCCACTTGCTTGGTGTTTCCAGGGGCGATCCTACACCCCAGGCAAAGAAGCCCGTCAGACTATTAGCAGAAACTACATTTTACAGATGTCCCCTAAATGCAGGAAACAGCAGTGTGCTGTATATTGTCTTTATGAGAGGTTTAAGGGGGTTTATAGTTGTCACTGCAACATTTGCCAATATGAGGGGCCATCGGGGCCCCCCTTTTCTCCTTGTGGGGCCCCAAGCATTTGGCTGTTGGTCTTCATCAGTGGCTGGTACTGCTGAGCCCAACCAGACAGTGGAGTGTTCAAGAATTAACCTCCACAATTGACGAAGGTGTCAAACCCTGTTAGGAGTGTGTTTAGTAGTTTTGTATTTGATTGTTGACGACTTCATCTTCTGCCGTGCAAACAACTTCTGGTTTGGCATTTGAAAACTTTCTTTTTTCTTTTCGAAGTTTCACAAATAAAGATTGTTCTTAGTCTGTTGCACGTGTGCAGTGTCTGAGTAATTTTAATCTACTGGCACAAAATAACATTTGAACCCCATTACCAGTAATCAATTTCAATTTACGACTTGACGGCAAACAGTCATTGACGTGTAAGAAGGAAAACCAGCTAAGCTCCAGATAAATATTCATGCATTTATGTAATAGACTGTAATGTGTTTCTGCCCCGGAGACACCAAGCCTACGGACAAACTGCGCAGATGAGCAAACGCATTAATACACCACAAGGCTGCAGCCCATGAAATAAGTGAAATTCGTAAAGTGCAACATGCTAGTCGCTCTGCACAGTTATTAACTTCTTTGTTGAATATTTCATTTCAGGGACGGTGAATGTTGAAATCTACTAGATTATTAATACTAGACACCAGGGTCAGTGCTTTGGTAAGAAAATCACTGGAGATGATGAGTGGCTGATACAAGGAAAAGTATACCTTGGGATATTGCTAAATGTGGTATTACGGTTATTTTGAGATGAAGTAATTTATTCCTTTAGACCAGTTTTCCTCAGCCTGCGCCGTCTGGTTCTACTTTAATCAGATATTTTCTACACATCAGTCAGAACGTGAAGAGAAATGCACAAACATCCATTCAGCTGCTGGTTTTTACATTTAATGAGGAAGAGCAACAGTACACTGTCAGCAAACGAGAAACTTCGTTTTGTGTGTGCTTTGTATGTTCTGTTTTCTGCTGGTAGGGCTCTGAGCTTCATCTCTATCCCCTCCTCCTCTTCCTCCTCCTTTTTTATGTCTCCGCACTGGTGATAGTCAGAGCCGGAGGCATTTTGTTTTCAGGTTGTCCGTCCCTACATCCCATTCTTGTGGAGGCAATATCTCAGTAATGCCTTGACAGAACGTCCTGAAATTTGGTAAAAATGTTCACTCAGGCAAAAGGATGAAATGACTTTGGTGGCTAAAGGTCAAATGTCAAAGTCAGCGTGACCTCACAAAACATGATGAAGACAATATCTCTAGAACTCCTCAAGGGAACCCCATCAAATTTGGTGCAAAAGATTGGATTTAACATTAATGAAAGCTGCATTCATCACTTTTTTCTTTTCTTTTATTCACATTGTTTAATATTGGTAAATGTTCATGTTATTATTGAGCTAATATAGTATACTTTGCTGTCATTTAGCTATAAATGTACAGTATGTACAGTATGTGGAGTTTTTATTCCATCTTAGGTTTGTTGTTCTGAAGTACTAAGTTTGTTTAATTTAGGTTGTTTCAAGTTGAAAGTCAAACCTGTTTAAGCACCATATTTTATAAGTGTTGATCCATAAGAAGATATATTTGTGGTTTTAAGAACCAAAAACCATCTCAGTGTAGTTTTACATCTCCTCTCTCAGGCTTCTCTCTGCAGCTCTAGTAACAACAGGTCAGTGAGCCAATCAGAGGAGAGGAGGCTCTGAGCCTCTCTTTTTTTACTTAATTGTGTCAGTTAATGTCAATGAAACATTATACATTTCTTGTAATTTAAACAGTTTGACACAGACCTTTGAACTTTATGAGTGATTTTATATTTTTCACCCTAACCCATACCACAGTGCATACATGACACGATAGGGTAAGCGACAGTATAGTTATTACTGCTCATGATGTGTTTTTCCCATACTCTACAGTATATATCTATACTCTATATATCTATACCTATATCAGGTGCCCACATACAAATACAAACATGCATATCCGCACATACTTCAAGTATGTGCAGCAGATGAAAGCAATCAAATTTTAAAACGATGTTTTCATTGTGTAAACTGTTAATTGTTGATTCATTTCATTCCATATGATTCAACAAACTTCTCCGTCCTACACGCCTGAAAATAAAATGAAAGTTGAAAAGTGATTCTCTGTCTCCATCACAGACTGGACATGACATCCAACAAACTGAAGAAGATTCCTCCGGACCCGTTGTTCCTGCGGATCCCGGTGTATGCCAAGTCGAAGGGCTCTCCTCTCACAGCACTGGTGCTGAGTTTTGGCGGGAACCCTCTGCACTGCAACTGTGAGCTGGTCTGGCTTCGCAGACTGACCAGGGAGGATGACCTGGAGACCTGCGCTTCACCTAAAGACCTGGCTGGCAAATACTTCTGGACCATCAGAGAGGTTTGTAAACGTTACTGCAGAATGACGTTCATGTCACGTCATACAAGGCTTCAAAACACATGAACTGCCACAAAAAACTGTCGGAAAAGCAGTCTGAACTTTTACATGATTCAAACTCTCATAGTGTTTACATGTAACACTGTTCTGTTGGATAATTTGTGTCTAACCCTGAGATCAAGATTCTGCCTTGATTAAAGTCCATTATCAAAGCTGTCCAGGCCAGTTTGGTAGATAGTAAGCATCCAAATAATTGGAGAGGTAATCAAAGGTTTCCATGTCATCTAGTGCTTCAGAACACATTTAGCCTCCGGGTGGAGTTGTTACCTTTGTTGGAATCAGGAGCTCAAAGTCACATACAAATCTGTCACCCAAACCTGTGTCATTTAAACATGCTGCTCATGGACATTGGCCTCTGTGATTTTGGGGCCATGGTGCTCTGAATGCGTTTTCCTGCTGCTTTAGCTTCAGCCCTCTGTGGATACACAGTCACTTTCTTTGTCAAGGACACATCAGCAGGGCAGATGGCTGGTGTCACAGAGGAGTGAACCTTCGGGTGACAGTGCGGAGTGATCTTGAGCTGAAATGCGCATTTGTGCAGTAGAGTTAGAAGAAACACAAAGACTCTGAATGCGGTTTATTGAGTCACAAACACAATAGTGTATGGACTAAAACTCATGTTTTACAACCCGTGTTTGGCCTTCACCAATTTGCTCATAGTTGTAGTGGTTTAACAGGCACAGTGCACATTTAGAAACATTACTGTAAATGTGGCAGTGAAACTGTTTTTTATCAGAAGTCCCTTGAGACATGTTATGAAAGGAACCTAGAATAATACATCACAAAACAGGTTTCTGAAATAAACTATGAGCATGGAGTATTACACAATAAGTGTAATCAGACCAGCATCATCCCTGTGTTCTTTCAACACATCCTCCAATATACACTGCTCAAAAAAATTTAGGGAACACTTAAATCACACATCAGATCTTGATGAAGAATTATTCAAGTTGAAAATCTTTACAGATGTACATTGTATAATTTGTTGAGAACAAAATGACGTAACAACGGTCAATGGAAACCAAAATCATCAACCCACTGAGGACTGGATTCACAATCACACCCAAAACCAAAATCACAGGTTGATCCAACCTGCGTGAATTTCATCACAGCAACTCATAATGTGACTCAGTAGTGTGTATGGCCCCTATGTGCCTGTTTGCACTCCCTACAACATCTGGACATGCTCCTGATGAGTCGGTGGATGGTGTCCTGGGGGATCTCCTCCCAGACCTGGATCAGGGCGTCAGTGAGCTCCTGGACAGTCTGTGGCGGTACTTGGTGGCATCAGATGCACCCACACATAACGTCCCGTAGGTGCTCAATTGGTTTTATGTCAGGGGAACGTGAGGGCCAATCAATGGCATCAATGCCTTCGTCATCCAGGGACTGCCTACACACTCTGGCCACATGAGGCCGGGCGTTGTCCTGCAGCAGGAGGAGCCCAGGGCCCACTGCACCAGCGTCAGGTCTGACGATCACTCTGAGGATTTCATCCCGGTACCTAACAGCAGTCAGGGTACCGCTGGCTGTGACATGGAGGTCAGTGTGACCCTCCAAGGATATGCCTCCCCAGACCGCAGCTTATTGGAGCAGTGAAAGTGTTATTTATTGGTTATGAAGCTGTTATAAATCCATAGTTGCTTTGAGTTTCACCAACAACAAGTTTGTGATTGGACGATTGCCAGTTTGATCCCCGGACTGACAGGATTGAATCTTGGTGGGAATTGTGAAAGAGCAGCACTTATCCACCCCTCATTGGCTCTGTGGTGCCCTTGAACAAGGCCCTTAACCCCACCTGCTCCAGTGGAGCTGCTCCGTGGCCAGCATGTCAGACTGAGCAGCTTCCAGGTGTGAATGTGTGAACTATGTGAATGTGATCAGGACGTTCCTGCAAAAGAGAGGTTGCCTCTCAGTGAAACTGCCCTGAACAAATAAAGGTAAAAACAAATCTTTCTTATTAAAGATCTCACTGGTTATTGTTCTGTAATGGGCAATTTGAAACCTTCAGAATCCTAATAAAATAAAGAAAAAGAAAATGTGCAAAACATCTAATAAGAGACTTTCAGAGGAAGTGACACAAAAGGAAGTAACACAAAAACACAGGTTTTAGCCTTGGGCTAAAAGGATCAACGTCAATAAAGGCGACATGTACCTGAGAGGAGAACATCATGTGGCACTGCTGATATTACATGCATACATAGACTGTAATTTCACTAAAGTCTGCTACCTGAACCTGCCCCTCTGCTTAGTGATGGAGTAACTTTTTGTTAGCGCTGGTAGGCCGAAGGTCCTTTACTACCATAAAGCCAAAGCCACAAAAGATGTGACAGAGCAGCTCAGAGAGCACAAAGCAACACCGATGTAGATGTGTTACTGCTCCAAACTGCAGTTAGATGGTGTGGGACTAAAGGTCGAGGAGCGATCTGCTCTTCATCTAAACACCTGCTGGAAAAATCCGTGCTGAACTATGCTCATACCTGGAGAGATAACAGCAGAATCTGTGTGGTTCACGACGTTACTTTAAAAAGAGGATGATATAGGGGGCTTTGTCTGGAGATCTTCCGGAGCCAACCATTCTGGGCTGTTTGAGAGCCACGGTGATAAGTGAAGGTGCACCATGAGATAAAGATGGGATTAATTGGTATTGCATTAGAGAGGATGATGCACAGACCTTTGCCTCACCTCGAGTAATAGTTGCGGACCTCCTTCAGAGAGGTACTGTAGCATCACTATAAGAGGATTAGCCTTGTAAAGAGGTCGAGCCACAGACCTCCGTGGAACTAAAGTGTCTGGGCATATTAATTCTCAGGGAGTTAATAGCCTCTGTCCTACTGCAAGGACAAGGGAACCTCTGTTGCATCCATCAGAGGTCAGACAGTAGCCATCAGCTGCCAAGGGAATTCCCTCTGTGGAATCAATAAAAGCTGCTCGGCTGCTTATTGCATGTGCACTGCCTCAAAAATCTGAGGTTACATTCTCATTTAATGGCAGCAAAAGTTGACACTGGTTGGAATTTGAAGCTTATCAGGACAAATCTGATATATTATTCATCCATAAGAACCAAAGGGGTGTTCATACTCTTCTATCCAAGGCCCAACTTCTCATACTTTCACACTTCCAAACACTCACACCAAGGGAGTGGCTCAGTTCAATCACAGTGTTTTACTCTTAAGCTTCACAGGAGCAATTGAGGGCCAGAATGTAATACAAGAATGAAAGGTTCTATTGGTTCAGGTTCATCAGGTCAGCAATCATCACCGCTGGTAACAAGAGCCAAGAAGGGCCCAGAGAAAGGTTTGGAGACACACTGAGAGGTAGGAATGATGAGTAAGCCGTGGTAAGCCGTGGTTGGCCCTGCTTGGCCTCGCAGTAATACTCCAGCAGGGTTTTGGCTGGCTTTATCCAGGCTTAGGTGCCAGTGGGTGGGTTTTAAATAATGCCAGGGCTGAAAAACTCTGAGATCACTTAATCTTCATGCGCAAACAACAAAACTCCTTCAGAAAGTCTGCTGGAAGAAAACACCAGTGGAAGTCAGTCAGAGCCCATATGCAGAGAAAATGTACTGTTTGGAAATTTTGGATTTTTTCTTTTAGTTTTTTTTTTTTTTTTTTTGAAGTGCCATGTTTCCTCTGAATCACTTGAATATTTAACTCACTTGAACCATCTGTTATTGTTTTCTTTCGTTTAGTTTTTTTTTCTTGGTGTTTTATTTATTTATTTTGTAAAAAAAAAAAAAAAAAAACTTAAATCTCAGTGATTCTTCAAATACAGTAATCAACATCTCCCTTATGATAAAGTATGACACAACCAGCACAACAAGTCTTCTTTAACCTACGGTGACTTACTTTTTTTTCGTCTTTGTCCCCAACAGGAGGAGTTTGTTTGCGAGCCACCGATGATAACTCGTCACACCTCCAAGATGTTTGTGATGGAGGGTCAGGAGGTGAGCCTGCGCTGTAAGTCAGTGGGAGATCCCGAGCCTTCGACGCACTGGGTCAGCCCGGACGGGAAGCTGATCGGAAACACGTCCCGAACCATCTGCTATGAGAACGGTTCTCTGGACATCCTCAAGGCCTCCGTCAAGGTAGACAAGTGGTTTCTTCTTCACGCACGCTCAGTTGATCTACTGTCAACGTCTTGGTCTGCTTTATATGCACTGCCTTTTCTTCATATAGATATAAATACCAAAACACATTTATTATACGAAACCTAGCAAAACGCTAACACTACACTAACAGTCAGCCTGGTCTTATTCCACATAGTATAGTAAACATGTAGTTATAGTGAATAATACAGATAAGAAGTAGATCAAATAAAGTGAGATCCTATTCATATGCACATGGTTTAATGATATTTTTCACACGAAGGGTCAATATTGACATACATTTTGAGAGGCCAAGCTTTGGTCCAGTGAGAGTATAAAGTTTTTGAAATCAGATATACTTTGTTTGGTGATAAGTAAAAGATGCATAGTTCATAGAGAGTAAAGCTTAATTAAGTATTTTTGATTTTATTATATGACACTGAAGACTGATGTGCATAAATAATCAATAATCAAATTAACGGAAGACACAGAAACATACCTAGAGTACATTACATATTACATTCAAGTGCAACATCGGGAACTTTTAACATGAAGATTAGCATATCAGCTGATTAGCTGCTAGCTCGTCACCAAGAGATCTTAACCTCCATTTGTTTTACTCCATTTGTGAGTGTTGAATCCATTCAAAAAATAAATCTTTGAAATGTTTGTGTCACAAAATGTGTGTGATGCACATTTTGGTACATATCAGGAAGTTTTTAATGCTTTATGACATCTATACAAATGTTTTTTTTATATAAAAGAACTTCAACACCAAACCTTTTGAGCAGCTGATTTTACAAAGCAGTGAAAATGTTCCAGCATTAATTAATGGAATAAAAGATCATCTCCATGATAATTGGTTTCAGGGAGATGCACTCATATTAAATCAAGGATAAAAGTCGAGTCCTCTTGATTTCCAGGATTCGGGGAAGTTCACCTGCATAGCATCTAATGCAGCCGGAGAGGCAACAGCTCCCGTTGAGTTAGTCGTCAACCCTTCTCCACACTTTGACCCCAAACTGGACCCTGACCCGGGGCCTTCAGACATCCCCACCTCCATCAAATCCAACGTCAGCGGAGGCCAGGCCCGGTCCGATCAGCAGAGGGTCAGCGTGTCAGATCTAACATCCAGCTCCGCCACCATCAGATGGCCCCCGCAGAACCACATACCGGGCGTCCGCATGTACCAGATCCAGTACAACAGCTCCACAGACGATATACTCATATACAGGTAAGACAAGGGGGAAACCGGCTGCAGTAACAGATCATTAAAAAACATAAAATCATGTTTCCCATCCAGATGTTCCACAGTAAGCAAACAGAGAGGATGGTCCTGACATCTGCAACACACAAAACCCAGCATTAGATAAAACTTACACTTATGGATTGTACATTGTGTGAAAGTACATTGGGTTCAGGACCAAGAAAAAAAGAATCATCCTAGTCCAGTATCACATGTTCTCTATCATCTCGTTCCAGCTCTGCACTGAAGCTAATGTCCCGTGTTATCTTCTTCTGGAAACTTTGTGATTTGCACTGGACTTTACAGTGGAGCCGACATGATTCAAACTAGGTTGGAGTAATGTTTGGCTGTGCAGCATTAAAACCCTTTTTCCACTGGTCAAAAAACCAGCGAAGACCCTCTTAACATCAGGCTTTTTATTGCAATGCGAAAGGGAACAATCAGCATTCACACCTGGGTCAAATGACAGTAGACGCAGGTATTTATCGGCTCCGATCAGCAGTGATGTAAAAACCACACTCAGGTGAACCCGCTAATTTTCACCCCTTTTCCTGTTGTAACATCGCAGACACTGTAAACACACCTGTCACCTGTCCAGCATGGTGCAGTAAAAGCAGAGACACTGCGGCTACACTGCTGCTGCCCTGAAATTTTTAAGGTTTTAAAAAACACACAATCACTGAGTGAAGTGTCTCACACGGAGGCTCTGACACTTTTACAGGCACTCTGTAAGAGCATGTGATGACATCACTCCTTGCAGTTGTGTATGGCCTCAATCCGAACAAAAAGGCAAACTTGACTGGCAGTGGAAAATAGGTCAATCGGCTTTTATTAGCGGGTTCACCTGCGTTAAAAAAACCTGCTTATACCTGATAATTTTGGTTAGTTAGTTTATAATGACACACTGGCAGCTAACTAAATATAGTTGGGGTTCCTGACTGTCTGTTTCTGCTCCAAACACACATCATCCCTGTGTGGGCAGTTTTCACCAAGGTCTTCCTCACATTTTTCGAGCTGGTTCAGGTTTTTTTTGAGTGAACAGCTCAGTGAGCAACAAAGGAGGAATAAACTGAAAAAAACAGGGATTTGGCTTCAGGCAACAGATATCAGACCACTTCAATTCTTTAGCTCCCAAAACATTTTTTGTGAAAAACCTGGGAGTTCTGATAATATCCCCATGATTCATAGTAGTAATGTAAAGCTTAATCTGTTCGCCTGCTGAAGTCAAATCCGTCTTAAAATACAACAAAGCAGCATTAATTTTCGGTCATGCTCAGCGATTATTGGCTCACAGAGAGGCACCAGTTGAGTGTTGGAGGGAAAAAATCCACCTCAGAACAAACAGCTATTAATGAGAACCCACAAATATTCCCGCACTGACTTGGTGTTCTCCTCTCAGCCAGGGATTACAGAGCGAGCCCATGTTAGAGTTCAAGGGTCCCCACAGATCAGGATCCTCAGCAGGGTTCAAGAGTCAGACAGACGGAAACAAAGGAAAAGAAATGTAATAACAGAAGATAAGATTAAGGTTGATTGATTCTGCTGGGAAATCAGTTCACTGCAGCTGCAGAAAGGCGGTAGACATCAACATGGAAAGAAGAGTCTGCAATAGACTATAAAACAGGAAATAAAGGATGTAAAAATACAAAAATGAATGAGTGAAGCCAGACAGAACATTAAGAGTAATGTAAAGCAATACTACTACGATTAAAACAAAGACTATGCAGAAAAATCTCCAGGAGAATGAATCAATGCTACAACCGTTAAACTTTTAGCACCTTGTAAAGTCTGCACTGAGATACACACACACATATACTGTATATGTATATATATAATATTATGCTGTCCCTACACATAACATTTACATCAGTGTAAATGAGGAAGCCAGAAATAAAATAGATCATTAATTTAAAAAAAGTTGAATAATGAATGAGTAAATGAAAAGGTAAATGAGCAGTGAAAGTTTTAGTTCAGACCTGAGCTCCTTCCTTTACCACAGCCGACGACTCAATTTGCACGTCCAAATCACCAGCTGAGGATTTCACAGCATGTTTCAGGCTGTTGCTGCCAAGTGGCTGAGTGTGGCCCCCTATCAGCCCACGATACCAAGTGACCACTGGATGGTCCCATCAGCCTCTTAGCCAGCTCTGTAACCTAGCAACGTCATTCAGAAAGCATAATTGAGTGTTATTACAAAGCATTTGGAGGGCTGACAGATGACAGTTTGAAGTGTGTCCACAGCCTCAATTCTCATTTTAACCAAAAAACCAAAGACGCTTGCTCGAGGCAAAGGCAAATAGCACATGGTCGAGTGCTGAGGGTCCAGCTGGATTATTTCAGATTAAACCATAGGAGTGACCTTATCATTATCCCACCACAGGGGGGGGCAGAATGTTAGAATGAGGCAGTCTGATGGCGACAAAGCAAGAAGCCCCATCCCTCTCAAAAGTGTACTGGTGGGTTCATGATTTATACTGTATGTTAATGCCTCATTCAGACAGTAGTTACTTTACATTACATTACATAAGTCTGCATTATTAAATGACATATAAGCATAAAGCGTTTTCTGATCTGTTGCCTCTATGAGCAGAACAACATCTTTTGTTGGCGACTGCCATGATTGATCTTACGCAGCTGTGGTGAATGTTGTTTGTTCATTTTTAAGGTTTAGGCACAAAAACAGTTTGCTTGGTGGAGGCAGGAACCTCTGGGGCCGAAAAAAGGAAGCCAACCCAAAAGTGCAGTTCCTCTAGAGTCTGGCTCCAACAGTGAGTCAATCCCCATTGACTCCCATGTTAAAATGTCCAACTGTACAGAAGAAATAAACATGTTTTGGTATTTGTAGTTAAATTCCTCCTTCATGACGACTGTATGAGGGGGTGAATCTTTACTCTCCTGTTTGAATTTTTTATAAGTTATGTAGAACTGAAGGCGTGGCCTCTTTGAGTGACAGGTGGGTGAGTGTATTCTTGCCACAGACTAGCATTTACCAAAGTCTCAGCTCCACACACGCCCCTCCTCTTTTCCCATTTTTGGATTAGCTGAGAGTTAGACACTGCCAAGATGATGACGGTGGAGCAGCTCACTCTGAGCTTCAAAACCCCTTTTCAGAAACCTGTGGGTGACAATACAGAGGCTACATCCGTCTTTATTTTTTACTCTATGGAGTTACGTCATGGCTTGTGTTAAAATTAGGGATGGGTAATGCCACTGATTTCTTGATTTGATTCTGATTCACAAGGTCCCGATTTGATTTGATTCCCGATTCGATTTATTCGGCCAGAGATATTTCAGATGTAGATGTAATGTGTGCTGTTAACATACCCAGTGCATCGGCTACTATGTGTATGAACAGGTACACACCGCTTCTTCTTCATATCTCACATATAGCATTGCTTTAGTCAGCTCTTCACCATCTACATAGTTTTTAAATCTGAAAAGCAGTCACACATCTACCTTTAGACTTGCCACTGACTTCATTGGTACAGTTTGTTAACGGTGCACACGCACAGTTAGGCTGTGGCTCGTTTCAAAGGTTATGTAACCACTGTTCCCATGGCGGCAAGTTTACATACGTTTACTGACTTGTGTGGAGCAAATGAAGCCGCATTGGAAACAACCATTCAGAGGAGAAGCTGCGGTGCAGCGGTCAGGTGAGGCTAACAGGCTAGGCAATGAAAACGTAGCTAAGCTAACTTTCATTTCCAGCAGCACAAGCTGTCCAAGTGAACAGACTGACTCTGTCATGTTTGTACTGAATGATTTAGTTCATTTGGAAATCAAAGTTTTTATTAGCTCTCTACATGACACATGATGATCGGATCTGCAAACTCTTAAAATGTATATAATTATCAACCGGATGCTGCAAACTGCAGATATTTCATTTCATCACTTTGAGAAAAAAGTGGCAAAGCATCGTTCCAGTGGCTCCAGCAGCTCTACATCTTTGCTCACCTGACCAGATCTCGTTGTGACAGCCGCACACATCTACAGGAGAGTGTAAAAGGCATAGATTAAAAGATCAATCTCGGGTTTTAGGAATTGATATCGGATTATTCTGATTAAGATTAATTTTAATCAGAGAACTGATTTTTTCAACTCGGCCCAAATTAAAATTACTGTTGGATTAAATATACCATACCTTCATCATGTTAGGGAGCGGTCGTGGTCGTGGTCGTGGTCGTGGTCGTGGTCGTGGTCGTGGTTAGGATACTGACTGCGGGTAGGTAACAGGAAATAAATAGCGGTTTCCAGTGTCAAAGCCAGATGTTGTTCTGTCTGTCCCTGTTACTTCCTCATTTGTTCCATATTGGCCAAGAAACATAATTCATACATCTGTTGGAGGGTTGTGTCACTTTAACATAAACATCTTTTGCCATTTGTAAAGACTGTTGTTGTTTTTTCTCTAATTATAAGTTACCAAGTTGTAATTCAGAGACGGGGGTAATGAGAATTTATGAGGCTGCGATTTCTCCAACATGGCAAAATGAAGCTGAAAAAAGAAACTAAATAATGGCTAAATGCCTGCAGAGCCACCACTGTTGTCCTTTACATCGACATGAAACCCAGTATTAATACAATCAGCTCATGAAAGAGGAACTATTCAAAGGAACTACCCAGTTGTCATTTGTTTTCTGTGTATTTTCTGGGGTATCTTCAGTATTTACAGCAGGTACAGCTGAGCCCCTGTCTTCTTTTAACATTCACTCTGAGCCTGGAGGCACAGAGATGAAGCCTACTTGTGTTATAAAGGTCAACAATTTGATTCTATGGCTCGGCTGGGAAAAGCACTCTCTCCTGCTTTTATAGGAGCTGCAGTTGTTGAGCTCTGCATTCACCTATGCCCTACAGTCACTCCAGTGGAGCCGTCAGCAGATAAGGAGTGAGCAGAGAGTGAGCAGCACTCGGTTAGTTGATTTAAAAAGAGTTTCCCTACTCACCAGACTCATCTGGATAAGAGAGAGTGGTGCAAAGCAAACAGGTTATTA